ACACCTGCCTGATGAGCCTCAAGAAGGGCGAAACCGGTCGTGGGCTGTCGAAGAATTTTCAGCAAATTTGTGAGTAGTTTCCTTTATGAAAATATATTGCGATATCTCGAATATTGTGCCAACTGAAACATGAGGCGGCCTGTGTGCAGCACTTTTAGTTGTAGACTATCATAAACGAGGGATTCAGTTGAGTCTCTCGTGAAAACCAAATTGATTTTCAAATGAGTGTATTTCTCGAGAATAATAGTGGTAGTTATATTACAAATACAGATGATACCAATAACACTCATGAAGAATCCCGAACATTCATGATTCCCATTTTCGGGAGACATGGCAGATGTCTTGCAGTCGACAATCGATAAGTTTTTGCAAGCGTAACGTCTGATAACAGCAATGCCTTCGGCTTACGTCTACATAATTTTAACGCAATAGCGAACAAAGCAGTCATTTATTAGCCTCTTCTACGAAACTTGGTTCAAAAGGAAAGAAACAAGCGGTGACATACGCAATCCTAGATTGCTAAGTGAATGTGTGATTGATTGCATCTGTGTTGCAAATCCCATTGTTGTTTTGATACGACAGAGCCAGAATGTGACCAAATTTAGTTGAGTGTGGTCAAGAAGAGTGTGCTAGAACATTCAAACAAACGCCATCAGTGGTGATGCGACATGTGGACCGTCAGAAGTATGCTGGAAAAGACAGTCTAAGCGAATAACCATTGACTGGAGTAGATGATGAGTTGCGACTCGAACTGGAACACAGTCTATGTACCAGTTCGGAAAAGAATAAAGAAGGAATATGAATTTACAGACGACCTGTACTTCAGACCATTGGGATAAGCCTTGTCTATCAATACATGGGGATGAACTATTTCCGGAACCACCAGCGGCAATGTGGTGCAATAAACCGCAGGAAAATTAAAGGGGGATAGGAGAACTGAATTCACCGAAAAAAAACATCCCGATTAGAATTGAGAATCAGATTAATCGTGCACCACTGTATCAAAGAACCGCACAGACCAAGGCGCGAAAAGGCACCCAACCAATCAATCGTCGTCATGAAATCAGGCCATAACGCAGTCGAAGTCGCGAGGAGGATGATTAAATGCAAAAACGTGGGTTCAGCAAACCAAACAAACTGAAGGAAGACGGATCACAGTGCAACACTAACTGTCGAGCAGATCAGTCAGCACATCAGGGCAAAGTGAGTGAACTCAGGGTATCCACCAGATCAATCAATTCCAGCCACTCTAAACCAAACCACGTTACATTTTCCAAACGGATAATGCAGCTCCCGGGAAGGGTACCTCTAACTAAGTGAGCATTTTGGGAACGTGCGATACCTTTTTAAAACTGCGTAAACGCAAGCGGAATTGGAAGCGTATCCCGGCCACCAGATGGTTTTGGTTCCAGTGCTACTTTTTCAAGGTCTTCCACCTTTCGGTTGCTTTTCACAATCATCCACTTTGTAAAGGCCTCCGTAGGTCATTGATTTGTTTTAGTGATACCAGCCTTTCGCATTGCCATTTCTGCTTCCTACTGTCAGACGTCCGCAACAATAGCTTTCTGTCATCCACCTGCTGCTAAGTACTGACCGTAGTGATTGAGCTGGCATAGCCTGTCAACCATGGGTGATGAGTGCAAGTTGTCGGCAGGCACAATCCTACCCCCAAGCAAAATCTCCCCAGGAGAGGAATCTCTCGTCGAGGAGACGATTCTGGAGGCACGGAAAATTTTCTCCGTTATAATCCCACAACCATGTTACGAACTCCTGAAATTGTCGAAGAGACAGCGATAGGCATGTCCTATGTTGTAATTGGCAGTGGACTGTGATGAAAAACAGCTATGCCGTACACACAACATATACTGTGATTTGTAGTATCACCGGGCTATTTTGCAACCAGACCTGATGCGCCCAGACCGAAAATTCATTCTGGGATACGCGCACCGTTCACTGTTGATTGGGAAAAGTACAGCACGGAAATGGGATGAACATGATAGCCATATGTTCACAGAAATCTCGATCACCATCATGATCGACAGTGTGTCGTCAATTTTCAAACACTGGTACTTGGCTACCACACAATCATAAGTTAAAGTGAAGATGAGAACAAAAGTGGATGGGGAAGAGACTTCGTGCTAACTTACAACAAATTGTCTGAGATAGGTACATATCCGGACACTCATTCGGACGATCTGGATACAATTTGATGACAACAAGTCTATTGACATCGATTAGTGGTCATATTTTTGTAGCGTCTCCAACCAGGCAGTGCGAGATTAGGGGACCTTATCTTGGAGGACGAGTTTCATTGAGGACACACAGACTTAGTGATTCCTTTTATACCATTATGCCAGACTAAAATGATGGTTATTTGTGGGCACAGAAAACATCGGGCAACAGCACTCTCAGTTAAACAATTTCGCTTTGCCGAGGAACTAATCACTCCTCCGGGTCCGACAGACACTGTAACATATTTGAGCATTCTCTTTACCTCCAAGGGGAAAGGGGTCTTCAACCACCGACAGCACCTGCTCAAACTGCTCGAAGAAGTGACGCGTGCCCCTTTGAAGCCGCATCAAAGAATGGATATCACGAGGAACTACTTGATATCAAGGCTGACATATTCGCTCGTGCTCGGCCAAGTCCACAGGAACACGCTAAAAAGATTGGACAACTAAATCAGACAATATATTCGTGGCTGACTATGTCTACCGAAGGACACCCCGATCAGCTACATCCACGCCGGTAAACAACATGGGAGATTTGGTATCCCAAGTCTGAGTGCAACAATCCCGATGCAGCGGAAAACGCGTA